TCTCTCACTCTCACGCACTCATACACACTCATACGGCAGCTGTCATTCTCGATCTTGGGAGCCACTATAGAGACTCACATGATAGATGCGCGTATCCAGGGGCTTTCACTACTTACTTCCAACACTCCTCCTTAGTGAAGCCCACTACTGCATCTACTTACAACACTCCTCCTGTTCCGTAGCACTCCTCCTGCTTTACGTCACTACCGGCTGCCTTAGGTAGTACAGCCCTCCGATCCGGTCACCTATAGCAACAACCTTTTTGCCTTTCTGGATTCTGCAATCCTTCACACCAAACAGCACATCATAGCCATTGCTTGTGATTTGGCTCACTGACAGCACACTTCCGGACAATCCAGGCACATACAGCAATCCCTTCAGTTGCATGTCAACGGACTCGCCTTCCAAGCCGACTCCAACGATCCTTCCATGTCCGGTTCCTCTGGAAGTTACATTTCTCCCGTCCGCCAACGACACCTTCTCTTCGCAAAACGTCATGCTGTCGAAGCTCGCCGTCGAACCAGCCATGTGCTTCGTACAGCCAGTGTCGATGATCCAACGACCGTCAATCGACACATCACTTGCAGTCGTCGTCGTGAAGCACACTCCTCGACTACTGCCAATGCTACCGGCATCCGATTGCTTAACCACCATCGACTTCGCTTGGTTCTGCTGCCTCTCCGCCATCAACACAGGACAATTTCGCCGCAAGTGCCCTTCTTGCTTGCAATGGTAACAAACCCGTACAAAACTTCTCCGTTCTTCCGATCGCATTGTGGTTTTCATCGCCATTTCACTGGCCTTTTCATGCACTTTGTTCTCGCATCTTCTCCGCCACTCATCTAGAAGCTTACCTTTCACGTACTCCAGCTTCAGGTCTTCTTCTAGACGGCCTTCAAGAGCAGTAACGAGCGGGTTGTACGTCTCCGGCAAACTTGACAACAAAATCGCCACAACAAGATGTTCCTTCAACGGCTCTCCCATGCTGGCTAGTCGGTGAACCAACTCTGACGCTTGGACTAGATGCTCCGACATACTGCCATCTTCTTTCAGCCGCATCGAGCACAATCTCCGCAGTACATGGATCTTGTTCGACAGAGACCCTCGCTCGTGGTAGCCTTTGAGCTTGTCCCACATCTCCTTTGCACTAGCAGCTCCCATAACATGGCACAGCTGACCATCTTCTAGCGCCAAACCGATCGTCGCTCGAGCCTTTTCGTTGTTCCTCGTCCAAGCTGCTGTAACCACCTCCGGCTTCGCGTCAATCACCGTTGTCCACAGATTTTCTTTGAGCAGCAACAACTCCATCCGGAACTTCCAAGTTGCCCAATTAAAATCGTTCAACCGGTCTAATGTTATCTTCGTCTCGGCCATTTTCCACGAAACAAAAACACTACGCGCACGGTCGGGCAAAGAAAACAGCTTCACAATCGAGCGAACAATGTTCACAATTCGATACTTTCCACAAAGTGTTCTTTCTTATTCCACTATAAGCTTTTTCCGAACGAAGCGTACTTCTTCAGTTCAAACAATCGCACTTTTAGAGACCGGACCAGCAAACAATAAGTTTGCACTTCAGCCCGTACAGGAGAGAAAAACAAAATTTCTCCTCCTCGAACAAAACTTTTTCCGTTTCGTATTCCGTTCCGTGCTACACACTTGGCCGATACTCCACTGCCAACAGCACAATTTCACCCGACAAAAACGTTCAGCTGCGGACAACAGCACATACACCCGCCGGGGGAAATCTTCTCGTAAACAAAGCACAAACGCAACGCAATCCACACAAAATGTCTCCTCCACCGGAGAACACTTTTCCACTATTACTTTCTTCACGGATCTGGGCCCATAACCTGTGGGAATCCCAGCGCAAGCAGATGTACACAGGTTTATCCAAACCGAACTACCGGACAATAAACACCCGTCTCGGGAGTCGCGTGATACCAAAGAAAAATAACCGCGGACTACGTTCTACGTGCGTCTTTATTTACAAGTTACAATGGACTAGTCAACAAACATAAATTGTACACACATCAGCAATTTATGCTTCGTCAGTCTCTCACTCTCACGCACTCATACACACTCATACGGCAGCTGTCATTCTCGATCTTGGGAGCCACTATAGAGACTCACATGATAGATGCGCGTATCCAGGGGCTTTCACTACTTACTTCCAACAGGTTTCGCCGATGACATTGACATTATGGCACGGAACTTTGAGATGATGGCGGAAACGTACATCAGACTGAAGGCTGAAGCTAGACGGATTGGACTTGCCATCAACGCATCAAAGACAAAATACATGAAAGCAAGAGGTTGTAGGGAAGACAATGTTAGCCTCCCACCCCGAGTTCAGATTGACGGTGACGAAATCGAGGTGGTCGATGAGTTCGTGTATTTGGGCTCACTGGTGACCGCCGAAAATGATACCAGCAGAGAAATTCAAAGACGCATTATGGCAGGGAATCTCTATGGAGATAGCTAAAGGGTGATTGTGTCAGTGATTTGTTTTCATCAGGAAATGATACGCTACGTAAATAGTGTGCGTACGATAAACTTCAGCAATCTCTATGTGTTATGAACAATGTGCATTAGTCGTCTCTTTCATTTGCTGTTATATGGTTGACGAAGTGTGAAATCAAACTATGTCGTCCATTTAAACAGCGGAAGAACGAGAGAGATGAAAAATTCACATTGTCTCATTGCAATAGAGAAAAAAAGCGCGAAAAGATGTGGAGGTGGAAGAGGATCAGATCAAAAGAATTTCAAAAAAAAAAAAAAGAATTTTTCAATGATCCATTGGGGAACTATTGAGAATCATATTTATTTCCGCACAAATTTTAGAAAATATCAAAACGCAGCATCTGTTGAAGGCTAGTTATTGGCGAATTGAGGCTCGATTAAGAAAGTGACAGACAATCACACTGTTTTACACACTAAACATAATATGAGCGACCAGTTAGATAATTCTGATTCATTCAAGATTATCGATGAAAAATGGATGAAATCGGATGATATCAGCAAGCGCGTGTTATTATTTATTACACATCGAAATTATTCAAATAAATCGAAATTATGATTCAAATTGTATTGAAATCCCTTCAATGAAATGGAGAATGGATTACTTTTGTCCCCCTCGTCGTGTAATCATAAGCAAGCGAAAATGTTGCTGAGAAAAAAAACTTCCCAAAATTCAAATCCATCTAAAAGTAAGCCTGTGGCACCAATCGAATGGAGTGGTTAGTAAACAAAGATTGAGCATAGTAGCCAAGCAATGGCTACTCCCTGGTGGGCTTTGGTAATATTCGCGAGTGCCCGAGCAAAAAGTGGTAGTGTTGCTCGGCAATTTAAAATAAATAGATCAATAACTCGGTAAGGAATGATTTTTCGACCTACCTTGCATTACAACTTTTGCTGCAAATGTGTTCTACTTTCACCTCCTTTCGGGTGTAACACGAATTACCAGTCACCCTGTTTAGTATTACGATCCCTGAAAATTTCATGACAATCGGTTGAGAGACTTATTTTTTTCTAAGTGATGCAATTTAGCTGTGGACACCCTTTACAATTTCTCAGTGTTCGACGTGACGTCGCTAAGGCTGTTTTCATCGCTGATCTCATGCGATCGGGTAGTTACAGTAGTCCACTTCTGCAACAGCTTAACATTAATATAAGACGAGTAAATTTGCAAACCCACTCTTCCTTTATTATCGCACAAACTGCGGTGCAAGTATTTATTCTATAAAGTCTCATCATCCTGTTTAAGTAAATATTAATGTTTTCTGAATTGGTTTAACACTTTCCTTCAAAACGGGTAGTAAATAAAATTCTAAATATGTCAGCATGCAAAAATGTCAGAGAAAAAATCGTTTTGATGAATAATCAAAATTGCAAAAATAGTCTGGGGTCATATTGACCCCAAGATACAGACAAAGGGTTAAGCATATTTGTATCTGTAGGATTTAATGTTATCTGAAGAGGTTTTCCGCCCACATGAGGCGCAAGGTTGGTCCTTCCGAAGTGGGCTTTTCCCTCTCAAATAAATAGACTTCCTCGGCCCCGAGTATTTCAAAGCAATCAGTATCAGTAGGTGAAATTCACATTGAAGAGTCCACTGCAGCTAGGCGGAATAAAGAGCAAACAAATAACCGCCTCCTGTGCAGAAAATAATTACCATACAATGTACGTATTTCACTATACGACATCCTATTGCTGGCGAACCGCAAGAACGATTCCACCTAGTTTTTATTGATCTAACAGGTACGAACGTACGTCAATGGAAAAAGGTCAATTTTGAGCATAAGTGGTTTTCCACCTGTGTCGCCCCGCATCGAGAAACTTGGCAGAGAAAAGCATTATCCAAGAAATTCAAATGAGACCAACTAACAGCTTACGATCGCATGAAGTTCGGCCAAAACGGAACGGCATGCTCCATTGTCTACAAACTATAACAACAAAATAAAGGTTCTCAAACTGTTCGCACTATAAGAGTGAATGTGTGGCAAGACAAGTGCTGGAAAAGATTCCACTCGACTAATACAATTTATAATATTACCGCTAGATTCAGCTGCTAAAACAATCTTCATCAACGTGCAAGGGTATATCATATTTATACGACCGAAATGCGATGGAGCCATTGGTGCGAAACCGCAATCTTCCTTTCTGGCTTTTTATTGACCGGCAATTTTGTTCCTAGCCGAGGTGGAGTTGCTTGAAGCCGTCACCAGCGTCATGCCATGTATGACGATGGGATGATGATAAGTAAATGTGTTTATAAACAAAAAAAATAAGCGAACAGATTACTTAACTCCTACCGTCAATACCATACACAACACATAGACATCGGAAGGATGGGATGATAACACAAAAGTTAAATTAAAGTCAAATCGGTGAACAAACTACGTTCGTTTTTTTTTTCTTCTACTGAACTGAACACGTAAACAAAACACCAAACTGGCGACGAGCTTGATGGTAGGAAATGTGTACAATTATTGAATTACCTTTTGGGTGCTTAGATCTAGTCCAAGATATGTTTCGTTTTCGGATGGCATCTTATTTTTTGGAAGGAAAAGTAGTAGGCTTTTACTTTTTTATTTCGGATATTTATCTAGAGTTCTATCGGACACTTTTGCGAATGGTTTATCTTTATCTTGTGGAAAGGCACTTTTCTTTAATTCTATTTTTTTTCCAACGTGATGACTAAGTACTTGCACACTGCTGCTCTCTGTCTCTATTAGGTAAGTAACGGGTCAAGTGCTGATACACTGCGTGGGGATGTTGTTATTTAGGACCACTACCGGGCCTACACCAACAAGAACAAGCCGTGTGTTGTATGACGGCAATCGTATGATGATGATGTCTGCGTACCGAGAGTAGAACTTGAACTGACGTTTTTATTCGATTCGATTTGCTGTTTGCCTCCTTTACGCTGTCGGCATGTTGTTTCTGTTTGTGGTGGTTTTACACTTTTTGATTGGTGCGCTACTTCTGGATGAACGTGTTCGCATGTGTGCGGATTTGAGTGTGATTGGAAAAGGTTCCAGATCCAGAGTGGCCCATTGTGTCCCGGTGTCGAACTATTAGGTCTGCAAAAATTAAATGAGGATTATTTCGAAGGAATATTGAAGCAATTTCTTACACTGCAAAAAATGTAATATCGACCAACGTAATTCAAGCTGATGTATGAAATATTGATAAAATAGCAAAAAGCATATACAATATTACATCAATGGATGTAAATTTCCCAAGTAACCACCAAGCCCGTGAATAGTCCGATAACACCGACGATGTCGGTGCGATAAGGTCCCTTTTTTGCAATATAAGGCTGATTACGGCTTTACATTCGTTACGGAACCACAGATCAGCAATGGTCTTGTATGTAGGAGTGGAACGACAACCCTATCAACCTAGTAGAATTAGCAAGTAAAGGGTGTCCACGATGAAATTGCCACACTATGAAATTGCTCTAACTTTTTAACCGAAGGGTAGAATTTAATGAAAATTTGGGTGGATTTAGTTCATAGTGCATTATTTACATCCTGCAAGTTTTAAAGTCCTGTGATCAAAACTCGCGGAAATGTAGTCGAAAGAACAGCTCGTGCGTGATAAAATCTTGCGCATTCATCACGAGAACAAGGATCTCTCGCATCGTTCCATCGCTAAAACGTTGGGAATCGCGAATTCCACGGTGTCGTGAGTGATTAAGCGGTTCGAGGAACGGTTGACCACCGATCGGAAGCCCAGAAGTGAAGGAAAAAGTATTCCGTACAACACCAAAAATCACAACCGCGTAGTTGGGGCCTTCAACCGAAATCCGAACGCCTCCGTTAGGGATGTGGCTAAGAAGCTGCACTTAAGCCGAAGTTTTGTCCAGAAGGCCAAAACTAAGGCTGGGCTTCGAACGAGAAGCAGAACAAGTCCGCCAAAACCCGTGCCAGGAAGTTGTACCTCAACATGCTGACGAAAGTTGAATGCTGCATCATGGACGACGAAACATATGTGAAGGCCGACTTCAAACAGATCCCCGGCAACCTGTTTTTCACGGTCAAGGATAAGTTCAGCGTTCCGGAGCATGTCCGCACTCAGAAGATGTCCAAATTTGCGAAGAAATTCCTGGTTTGGCAAGCCATCTGCACGTGCGGGAAGCGGAGTGCACCTTTCGTGACCCAGGACACGATGAACGAACAGGTGTACATAAAAGAGTGCCTCTAGAAGCGGCTGCTTCCTCTCCTGAAGGCCCATAACGTCCCAACAATCTTCTGGCCGGATTTGGCCTCATGCCACTACTCCAAGGACGTGCTGAAGTGGTATGCGGACAATAAGGACAATTTCGTGCCGAAAATGTTCAACCCTCCCAACACTCCGGAGCTCCGCCCCATCGAGAAGTACTGGGCGATTATGAAGCAGCACCTTCTTAAACGACCTAAGGTAGTGAAGACAGTCGAGGAACTGAAGAAAGTATGGGTTTACATGCAAAAAACGGTTGATTCACAGGTTGTGCAGAATCTTATGGCCGCGGTTAAGGCCAAGGTGCGGGCATTTGCGTATGGACTGTAAATAAAATACGAGTAAAATGGTAAAATGAAGTTTAATAGTTATTTCTCAATCCCTGAAAATTTGATGGCAATCGGATGAAAACTCGAATTTTGCGAATCAATTTTATGTGTGTCAATTTCATCGTGGACACCCTTTAATCTTCCAACACTGTATGAACATTTTTATACCGGTACATGTTGCGTGCTTGTTGTCTTTTGTATTTTTAATTCGCACGAGTTGTGCCCTCAATTTCTCCACCCAAGTGTTAACAAGAGAAGATCGAAATTAATCCATTCTCGATGAACATTTCAAATGGTCCTATCTGCTTTGATCGATTCTCTTCATCGACGTTCTCTTTTCATAACCACTGCTATGCAAACAGATTTCGCGCTAATTCTATCACATAGTTTGATAAAGGAGGTTCTTATCTAGCGTCCAAAACGTCAAATACTACAGGGACAGGTTTTGCAGCTGAGTTATTGACAAAAGAGAAAGTCGATGAAGAGAATCGATCAAATCAGATAGGACCATTTGAAATGTTCATCGAGCATTCTTTATTCTTTCACTAAATTTCGCGTTATTCGTTTTCTGGTGGCTTTTTCTCATTTATCCAAGTTCCCACGGACTCTGCGGGTGGATTAGATTCATCAGGATGTGCCCAGTGGTGGAAAGTGGGAAAAATAAAAATAAAAGGCGAACTTTCGTACGAAAACTGTTTTCCGGAAATTTTTCCGACGACCAAAGTGCTGTGAAAAGTGAAGAAGAGAAAAGATGGCGGACAGTCTGAAAGTGTCGTTCACCAAATTAAACAACACAAACTACGTCTCCTGGAAGTACCGAATGAAGACGCTCCTTGAACGGGAGGAAGTTTGGGATGTTGTGGATAAGCCGAAGCCGGAGCACGTTGACCTAGCCGAGCTTGCGCAATGGGTGAAGGATAACCGGAAGGCGCGTACGACGATTTCTTTGTTTGTGGAGGACAGCCAGTTGCAGTTTGTGAAGAAGGCTGTGACGGCGCGTGAGATGTGGCGTAATCTACGGGACTACCACGAGAAAGCGACGATCGGGAATCAGGCGATGCTCCTCCAGCAGCTGTGTTCCCTGAATCTGGCAGAAGGGGGCGATATCGAGAAATACATCGACCAGATCGAGAGTCTGTATGAGCGGCTCGACAACGCGGGCATCGAACTGGGTGAGCTGCTACGAATAATTAGAATAATAGTTTGCCAACGTCGTTCAACAGTTTCGTCACATCGCTAGAAAACCGACCGCAGGAGGATTTGACGATGGACCTGGTTGTGGCTCGTCTACGGGACGAATGTCAGAAGCGTTCGGGTCAACAGAAAAACGGTTCGAAGGAAGAGAAAGCTCTACGTACGGACATAAAAACGAAGACCGAAAAGAAGTGCTTCTTCTGTCATCAGCCGGGGCATTTTCGTCGGAATTGCATCAAGTTTCTGGAAGCTAAAAAGGGTGAGAATTCGAAAGAACCGAAGAAAGCGGCTTCGGATCAGCAAGTGAAGCAGACGGAAGTGGAAAAATCCGTGAAGAAACCAGAAGTGAAGGACAGTGCTGTTTGTGGCGCGGTCTGCTTTGTAGCAGGCGATGTGATTCCTGGTGCTTGAGCCGTGGACAGTGGCTGTATGTGCCACATGACAAAAGATCGAGGTTTTTCACCGAATTCAAACAGGATGTTGTTGATTACGTTTTGTTCGTTCCTGCATTGGAAGGCGGATTGATTTCTGTCCGCAAGCTTGCGCTGAAGAGATTTGATGTCACCTTCAAAATGGACCACTGTGAAGTCAAGTCTGCTGATGGTGTTGTCGTGGCAGTAGGCAAAACGCATGACAATCAATATGTACTCAAGATAGCAGAATCGAGTATGGTTGCGACTGGAAACCATACTGCGTAGTGTCAACATACTTGAAATAGCAGAGTCGGACATCGGGGCATGGATGCTGTGAGCGCTATTCAATCGAAGGGATTGGCGGAAGGTTTGAACATTAAGGATTGCGGTGAACTGATTATCTGTGAGTGTTGCCTTAAGGGGAAGCTAGCTCGTAGCCCGTTTCCGCAGAGAAGAAATCGAAGCAACCGCTCGACATTGCCCATACGGATCTCTGCGGCCATATGGCGAACGCGACACCGACCGGGAATAAGTATTTTATGACCATGATCGATGATTATAGTCGTTTCTGTGTGGTGTTTCTGCTTAACTCTAAAAGTGAAGCGGCTAGCAAGATCGAGGAGTATGTTCGCTGGACGGAGAATATTTTTGGACGGAAGGTTCGCATTGTGCGGTCGGACGGCGGCGGAGAATATATTGCCGAGAGTCTGCAGGAATTTTACAAGGCCGAGGGTATTCATGCAGTTTTCAACTCCCTACTTGCCGCAATCCAATGCCGTAGCGGAGAGGAAGAACAGGGCTTTGCAGGAGATGGCGAATTGTATGCTGCTGGATGCGGGACTCCCAAAGCGATACTGGGGAGAAGAGAAGGAAGCTGTTTTGACGGCTGCCTTCATTCAGAATCGACTGCCATCAAGAGCCATCGATCGAACGCCGTTTGAATCGTGGACTGGACTGAAGCCGGATCTCTCTCAGCTTCGTGTATTCGGCTGTGAAGCATACGTTCATATTCCCGAAGTCAAGAGGAAGAAGTTTGACGCGAAATCGAAGAAGATGATCTTCGTAGGCTATTCGGAAAGCCACAAGGGCTACCGATTCGTGGACTGTGAGACCGACCGAGTTACCATGAGTCGGGATGCACGGTTCATAGAGCTGGGGAACGGATCACAACAGGAGGAGGAACGAGTGAAGCAACCGGAAAAGCCTGTGGATCAAGGTGCAGCTGAGATAGAAGAGCCAGTGGAAGCGGATTGTGAAAATGAAGTGATCATTGGACAAAGCACGGGTAGTGAAGTGGCAGAAGAGCCCTGAAGATCCCGAATCAGTATATGAAAATCAGGTGCGCATGAACTCCAGGAAGAAGAAGAGGATGACTTTTACGGTTTCGAAGAAGTGGAAACGTCGCCTCTGAGAAGAGAAGATCGGCGCAACCGGGGAGTTTTGCCTCCCAGATTTGGTGATTACGTTGTGGGGCAAGTCTCTCACGAAGAAGAACCCAGTGATTACCGTGAAGCGATGCGCATTCCGAAGTGGCGAGCAGCTATGCGTGAAGAAATGGAGGCGCACAAGGTGAATACGACCTGGAATCTTGTGAAACTGCCTGCCGGCAAGAAGATCATTGGAGCTACCCGAATAGAAATTGTAATGTAGGAAACATCAGCAGACATCTTCAATACATTAAATTTTAACGTTTATTGCTGTACCCTTTATGTATTCAGACTTCAGTGTGACGTCCAAGTACATAAAAATACATTAGCCTCAAACGTTACATCAGAATCAAACGTCTTGACGATGTAAAATTTGACATCAGAATACATCCAATGACAACAGAACTAAACGTTACATTAGAATCAAACTTCATCACGATGTACACACTTAATCTAGCTCGGTAAAATCTCCAACAGCCGATTACCTCGGCATTTACTTTTGCTGATATCTCTGCAAAATATCTGTTTGTTAGCTGATATCTCAGCTAAATGTTATTTGTTAGCTGAGTCTCGGCAATTGTTTTACTGAATCTTAGCAAAATAAATTGCAGAATTACTCGGCTGTTGGAATCTCGGCGAAAAAATTTAAGTGTGTAATTTGTTGCACGCATAAAACATCAGAATACTAACGATTTGAAATTGGCTCACTACTTGACTAGCCTATTGGTCCAAAGCAAACGATTAATGTATCCCATTCTAGTTGAAATTCTAGTACTACACAATGTTTGTTTTGATTCGCTATGAAAGTTTGACAGATAAAATGAGGGGTTAGTGGATTTTCCTATGTTTCGAGCGTTGAATCGATTAGCTTGGAACCGAAGAGAGTACCAGAGCTGAGCCAAAAAGTTAAGCTCGTTTCTTCAAGACCTTCTAGTCTTAGAGTTACCTCTATGGTGAAATCCATGAACCCCTCATTTTATCTGTCAAACTTTCATAACTAATCAAAACAAATATAGTGTAGTACTGGAATTTATACAAGAATAGGGTACGTTAATCGTTTTACTTGGGACCAATAGGCTAGTCAAGTAGTGGGCCAATTTTAAATCGTTAGTTTCGTATTGATTGTTGGCTGTTTGAGAGCTGAGCCAAAAAGTTGAGCACGTTTTTTCGGGACTTTCTAGTCTCAGAGTTACCTCTATGATTGTACTGTCATAGACCGGTCGAACGTTCAAATTTTTTCAACAGCATTGCAGCACTGTATGAAAGTCATTTGAAGCCACACGAAGAAACATAGTTGCCAGTGACATTGCCAAAAGATCTCTCAAAAAATCGAGCTGCATTTTGACAGAAATTTTCTTTGCGTGTCTCTACACGGATAGAAATCTCCTTATACTTTTTGGCAAATTTCTATTGCTGATTATTCATGAAATGTATAAGCCAACTTATAAGCAGACGCCTTGCAAAAAGTTAATGAAGCTCATGTATCAAATGAAATGTATAAGCGATCACACATACCTTTTATGCATTCTTACAGGACCTGTGTGGTTTGTCTTATGGAATGTTTAAGGCTGATGTTTTGGCAAAAATGTATACGTGAAACAAATGAATAAAATAATTGATTTTCGTTTAGTGTATCAACGTCTCTGGTCAAATGAACTGTCATCTAGTGTCGAGGGGGGCGACACATCTAAAAATAAATTCTAGATGCTCAACAAATCTCACACGGGCGAATCAATCTCCGCAAATCTCTAAAGTTTTTGGCTCAGCTCTCGTACCATAGAGGTTACTCTAAGGCCCAAACGCAATGTGGGCGGAAGCGGAACGGAAACGGAAAGTTTGACAGTTGTCATTAATGACATCAAGATGCCTAACCGAAGTCGAATTGGATCTAACTAGGTTTCAATCCGACAAGTAGGCTTACTCAGATCGGGCTTTTCCGCTGGCGTTGCCGTTCCGCTTCCGCCGTCATTGAGCTTGGGCCTTAAGACTAGTAGCATAGAGGTAACTCTAAGACTAGAAGGTCCCGAAATAACGTGCTCAACTTTTTGGCACAGCTCTGGTACTCTCTTCGGTCCCAAGCTAATCGATTCACCCCTCGAAACATAGGAAAAAGCAATAACCCCTCATTTTATCTGTCAAACTGTCATAGCGAATCAAAACAAACATTGCATAGTACTAGAATTTCGACTAGAATGGGGTACGTTAATCGTTTGCTTGGGACCAATAGGCTAGTCAAATAGTGAGCCAATTTAAAATCGTTAGTTTCGTATTGATTGTTGCTAGTGCTATCTTCGGTCCCAAGCTAATCGATGCACCCCTCGAAACAAAGTAAAATCCACGAACCCCTCATTTTATCTGTCAAACTTTCATAGATAATCAAAACAAACATAGTGTAGTACTAGAATTCCGACTAGAATGGGATACGTTAATCGTTTGCTTGGGACCAATAGGCTAGTCAAGTAGAGAGCCAGTTTCAAATCGATAGTTTCGTATTGATTGTTGATAGTACGAAGTCCGCCATGTTTCACGCACAATCTGACGATTGTTTATGGATTTTACCATATAGGAGTAAAGAGATACCATAGAGGTAACCCTAAGACTAGTAGGTCCCGAAGAAATGTGCTCAACTTGTTGGCTCAGCTCTGGTACTATCTTCGGTCCCAAGCTAATCGATTCACCCCTCGAAATATGAGAAAATGCACGAACCCCTCATTTTATCTGTCAAACTTTCATAAATAATCAAAACAAACATAGTGTAGTACCAGAATTTCAACCAGAATGGGATACGTTAATCGATTTGCTTGGGACCAATAGGCTAGTCAAGTAGTGAGCCAATTTCAAATCGATAGTTTCGTATTGATTGTTGGAGATACAGAGTCGCCGTCTATGCCAATATAAAACACCATGAGTTGACCGCTGACATTTTTTAACCTTCTTGGCTACGTAATATATGAACGACCCGTGTTGCATTAATTTCGCCAAAATGTATGCAAATATTGAGGACAACACGGAGAAAAAATCGAAATATTAACTATGGCAATAGTTTTGATTTAAATTGATGGGTAAATTGTTACATGAACCTCAACTAGAATTAACTAGGTATTCGATTTGAGCAGTGCTAAGTTTCCAGTTATCGATTCAAAACTATACGTTACAGATTCATTGATTTTTTTTTATTCAACTAAGCCGGCATATCTCAAATCTAAACTCAGGTTCACAAATGGACCGTACGACGAGATGAACGTCACAATCGGATTCCCTCCGCGCCCGGTAACGTTTCCCAGCACCTGTGCCGTCTTGCAAGGGTGCAGCGCGAGGAACGGTTTGAACAGCACCGGATGTTCCATCTGGGTCAGCGTTTGCTTCAACTGTTCGCGACTTTCCGTAGCCAAATCCCGAAACCCGTTCCAGGCTTGTTCCAATCGCAGCATGGTTCCATCTAAAATTGGTACGATTTTTCGTAAATTATAACGGCAGGTTTTGGTAGAAATACCTGATCTGTATGCGTTGAAGTACAGCACCGGAACCTGATAGCTTTCGCTGTAGACTACATGGTACTCGAACTGATAGAACTCTTCGCCTTCACCGTCGGAATGCGTCATCACAACAGAAGGATCCTGCTCGATCAGCTCCTCAAAATCGTCATCGTCTCGCGGGATACTGCTATTGAGTGTTTGCTTCAATCGCTTCGTCAAGAAGACGGTCTCCGCTTCCGGTGTGATCAGTTCCCAACCGTCATCGATTCTGCGGGAAAGTTCCAGAAACTGTTGGGCAGCTTTGCTGAACTGCCGCTCCGTTAGTGTTCCGCCGGTCATCACCGTCCACATAGAATGATAACAACAAACATCAACACAGTGGTGAAATGGTGAATATGCTGCCGCCTTCCGATTGTCACCCGAGACATTCACCTTCCACCCGCTCACGGTTTTTGCTTCATGGGTTTTTGTTGAGAAGGGCAGGCAACAAGTTCACGAACACATTCAAGGTGCAAAACATAATTTGGGGTCGGTCATAAGCTACGTCAACATGGGGTTGCGGTCCTTACATATTTTCAAAAATTGATGTGGATGATTACCGGTGCATTACGATCATAAATGTAAATAACTTGAAAACTTGGGTTATGGATGCACCCTTCTATATACACAAACGATTCGGCAAACGAAGCACAACAAAAATCCTCCCAAACTCACACAGTGGCAGTGGCGGTGAGTGCCGAGAGCATCGCGCCTTCTGACAGTAGAGCGGCAGAATGAGTGGGTGAGTAACTCTTTGGTTTTTGAGTCGAGTGTTGCGCTAGTGAGAGAGAATGGAAAAAAATTTACATACAAGAAGATTTTTCGGTGTCCGATCCGCGTAGAATTGAACGGCCGAAAAGTGCCACCTCCGGGGCCCAAAGTGCAGTGAAAAGTGCGTCGATATGATCCGGATCGTGGGCAGCTGTCCGGCAGACTGGAGTTTGCGACCGATCGGCCCAGCTGGATGCTGAGCAGGAAATTTTTCACCGCACCAACCAACAGCCAGCCATTGAGCTCGCAACCAGTCAGCCCTTTTCTTCTCCCGTACAGTATTTAGTGGGTACACGGTCGTAGGGCGGGGGCGACGGCAGTGGGAGAGCAAAGCGATAGGGTTCAAAGACGATTTCGGTCGGGCCTCGGGCGACGACGGTAGTGAAAAAGTGCGTGAATGCCCTCCGGGAGGAGGTCCCTACTTCTGGGTGGTGATTCAGTCTTCAGGGTGATTAGAATATTATCCGTCAATTTGTGGCAAGTGGCATTAGGTGAAATGGTTTAAAAAGTGGAATCATTAATCTGGAAGGCAATTGAGAAGAATAAATTGGACGACGGAGTGTTCCGCAGATGTGAATCAATGGGAATGGATATGTGTATGCAGCAGGAGCACCACCATCCAGCAGAGCAATAAGCGCTGCTAGAAGAGTGAAAAGTTATGCTGTGAGCTGAGAGTGAAGAGCGCGTTTGAAGAAGCGAAAAATAAGGAAATTGAAGCAGCAAAAAATTGTGTGTGAGTGATTCAACATTGGTTCTGGGAAAAAGAAGCGATAGCGATATAGCGAAGAAGCCGCCAGCAGCAGCAGCAAAAAAGGTCCCAAGAAAGCGGAAGGATATACGACAGGCGGGTGACCCCCACCCCCGGGGCTTCGTACCAGAAGAGCGGAAGCATTTCAGACCAAGAGAGCGGAAGGGAAAGACAAGGAAGTGCAGGAAGGATGGCAACACCGAACCGAAGTGAGAGAACTAGCGCTCCGGCTGGTACTACTGGTACGGGCACTAGCAGCAATGGTAAGTGATTTCCAAATAATTGTGTTTTCACTTGAATGCGTTAAGCAGCGAGCGGCCGGCGGGTCCGTCTCTGGTCTCGCAATATTATTTTGTAATCTTGCACGCACGCACGCACGAAATGTGTGATGCTGGCTGTCTGGCTGGCTAACTGCTTGCTCTTGATGTTGGCCGACTGACGGACTACTGCTCGCACGGGTTTTGATGATGACGGTGAACAGTGTTCCGTCTGCAGATGCGAGGTGCGTCGGGGACGAAAAATTCCGAAAAAGAAGCGGTACTTGGCTACACCAAGGGGTGTAGTCAGAGGTTGGCGAGATGTACATTCTCTTATATCACAGAAGTGGTTTGAAAAAGCATTAAAATCCTTGATTCGTCTCTAAAAGTCAACTGCCTCTAATCTAGAGGTGATTCAAATTTGACGTTCACACTTGAGGGAGCAAGGAGGTCCTAGATTATTTTTTGACAGTACATGTAGTAGGCAAGCCCCCTCACATTTCACCAGCAAGCTCACCCTTTCTGGGTAAACCCCCTTTCTACGCCACCGAACTCTGCACCGGAACGTGCAAGAGCCTTATCTCTCTGATGATGCTGCTTCCTTCCTTCAGTGTACTTCGCTGCGCGTGCTGATGTATATTTGCCGCTGTGCCTTTGTGCCCACTCTGATGTGATGAGGCCATCACACACTCTCATCAATTCTCGTCTGAATGTCTTCAGACGGTAGGTTAGTGCAAATGGCAGGTCCCCTACATGGGTAGTTATTTTGTTTGCTTTTCGGCCTTTTTCCCGAGGTAAAGTGCCACTTGATGTGGTCTCTCCATCTCGTCTTCCGTCTTTCGCCTGAACGTGCCGACCTATCTCGTCCGAAAACGAAAACAAACCTCCGACTGCCGGGTGTTGATAGGTCGTATGGATGTGCTTTTGGTACCAGTCGAATTAGTTCCAATCAAACACGCATCTATGCATTTGAACGAATTATCTACTCTTAGGCAGTATTGTCTTACGCCATTCCCTCTCCATCCGCTGGGCTGCTGCGAGAAGTTCCAAAAATGGAATCCACCAGAGCGAGAACCTGCGTTGGCAGTAACCAAATACGGTTCCAATTTATCATCTAACTGGGTTTTTTTTTCTCTCGCTGCTTCGGTTTTTGCGTACTGGGTTCACTCATCTCTCCTCATTCCCAATCCCAGCAAATCCTAATCGAACAACGATGACTAAAGTTGAAACACACTGAGAAGGGGTGCGAGGACTGCATTTGCGGGGTGAATACATTCAAGTTCTGAATCAGTATCAGCGATATGGGTTTAGTCATAGTAGTCGTCGTCGTCGTCGTCGTCGTCGGACAAATGGATGCGGAATGAATCATTTCGATGCGTTGGCTGTGGTGTCCTGTTTCTGGCGTTCTTTTGTTGCAGAGGGACGACATGTACACAGGTGTCGTTTTACATATATGTGAGCGCCCACCACATTGATTGCTGTAACCTGTTACCGGGGTGGACGAAGCCAGGGGAGAATCAGTGACCTCATATCACTGGCTGCTCCTACGCGATTATTCTCGACGAAGGAGGCGATGTAAATTTTGCTGTCGGTCCGAATATGGTAAAGTTGGGAATGCAGTTCTGTTGATTAAGAGAATCTGGAGTTCAAGCACTGGAAACGATGACTTGGCCCGAACATTGAGAACATTGACTACCTGTAGAAGGCTTAGAAGGCCACTAAGTTTTTTTTAGTAATCAGTCACTATTTTTAATTTATTTTAGTTTGAATTTATTTCAAGCTTGATGAAGCGATACCCACATTTTGTTCTAATTTTCGAACAATTCGAATGTTTTGTGCTTCGGTAGAGCCTGTTGACGTTTAATCCACTCATTTGGCTAAATAAAATTCCCTGAGATTAACATATTTTGACGTAGGACTACGTCTGTGATTTCTATATGGGGGTACACTTTGTGAAAACCGAAAATGGAACATGAAACAAAATTATGAAAGATTTTGAACGTTAATAACTCAGCTGCCCCTGGACCAATTTCAATAATTTTATCACCAATCGGTCAGATATATTTCTACGCATCTGTTAAATTTGAGACTTTATCATTTTCAAAATGTCTCTATTGAAAATTGGACAAATGTGCAACTGTTGCTTTGATAGTTAATATTATCACCGATTGCCTGCAAAAATGCGATTTCCCTAACACAGATTTCAAAGTTGAATTCCATCCATGGTGAGTAGTGGTGTTCTCCAGTACACAACGGAAGGCTGCCAGCAAGCAGCGAGCTGCAGCCCACATTATCATCCATAGAAGGAGGCTGAAGCCGCACCGCTATTGATCGGAATCAGTAGCTCTTCGTGAGTCACTGTGGGCCATCTATGTCAAGCGCGTCATACTAAAGAGTATAAGCAGAGAGGACCCAGCTCAAATTCCTATTCCTATTCACAACAGAAGCTCCTGCTGCAGTTAACAAATACGAATTATTATATAAGACCACGTAGTCCTACGTCACCATTGCGTACAACCCCATGGGGCTGCCCCTTGAAGTTTTGTTTTTCAAGAACTTCCAGGTTTATAATAAGAAAGCTATTTCTTAAATACGTTAATGATAAGCTTTTTTGTGTGGTAAAAACAACAACAACAGCAATTAACGCCAGCGTTTTAAATGCAGGACAGTCAGTTTTAAAGAAACAGCTTTACAATCAATCCATTAAATGTTGAAAACCGGGAAATGACCAAAAATTTTCATGAAAAATCGAGAAAAAATATACTTTGTCCTCTCTTTGGAAGAATAAGATTTTGGACCTTAATAAAATGTCAATGACCCTTGCACTGGAGTTGATTTTCAGGCTACAGTCACTTTGAAGAACTATGGAGAGATTTTTGAGGATATTTTAGTATGAGTTCTATGGATAATAAGATGATATTTCAGCGAAAAGTTCCAAGGCAGTTTGTGAAGAACTCCAATTCCAAGCAGACATGGGAATTGTCGTGTTTGTCATTGATACATTAAAAAATGGTCATCCAGGTAAATCCTCGTCAAACAACAATTTCTTGTCGCACGACAAAATCAAGAATCCATCCAGTCGCGATTATCTATTCTAGTCGTATGTCACTCATACTGTTCCCTGTGACAAAGTACTATTAGCAGGGCTGGTAGCAGGTCACTTTTTAGTGACTTGGTCACTATTTTGAAGCCAGTTACTAGAAAGTCACTTTTTACACCAACAAGTCACTAAAGTCACTATTTCTCTAAAAATAGTCACTAAAGTCACTTTTTCACTACTAAAATAGAGTGAAATTAAAAAATATCAACAATATGTTTAAATTGAGTACTTGGCACTAAGAAAGTCAAAGTAGTTTTGACAATATACATATCTGTTAAAAGATTAAAATTTTAACCAGGGTGATCAGTGAACCGCAAAACTTTAGAACACCAAGAAAACTATTGGGAAATTCCTTCAATTTCGATTAAATATCGGAGAAAATATACCTCCTTTCCCAGAAAATGAATTGTAAACCTTGAAAACCTT